ACATTTTTGGGAATTTAATTTTTTCTCGTCTCTCTCTTTTTCTGATTTTGTGGTGGCTGGAGTTGGGGGTTGATCTTGTGGTGTTGAAAGTGCAAATGGCGGTGGCAGACTTGATGACTTGTTAGTGGGGTGGTGGCTGTGGTGTGGTAATTTTGGGAGAGGGGGTGGATTTTGGCAGGCGATAGTGGTGCAGAGGTGTGGTGGAGGTGCTGTGCACGGTGGAGGTGTTGTGGTGCAGTTGAGGTCTTGTGAGTGCGACAGTGGTGTAGTTTTGTGGGTGTGTTCGCGGGTGGCAGTCGACGGTGGTGCAGGTAGAGGATAGGGCGGATTTGGTGTGCGGGTGTGTTGCTTAGACTCTGTGGGTGTGGCGGATTGGCGGATCTATGGGGTGGCGGATTGGTGGTTGGCTGTTTATATTTGCGGTCATTGGTGGCGGATCTATTGTTGGTGGTGGCGGATCTGTTGTTGTTGGGGTTCAGTTTTCGTCCTGTAGCTTGTTAGTTTGTGTTGGTCGATCTGTGACCTGTGACCAAGCGACGGTATTTGTGATCAAATGTTTGGTAATCTGTAACCAAATCTTTGGTAATATCTGTGACCAACTCAACTGTGACCTAAAAATTTAATAATACGTGACTTAAAAATAATCTGTGATCAACTAATTTAAAAATCTGTGACCTCGAAATAATCTGATATGTGACCTTGAAATAATATGAGATAAAAAAAATTTAACGATATATGACCAGTAAATAAATTTGTAACTTATAATTATGAGTATGTGACCATTAATCACAAACTGTGACCTTATTATCTTTATTTAATAAATATTTTTCATTAATTAAAGTCATACCTGATTTTTGAATTTTCAAACTATTTACCATACTTTTGAATTGTGGTAAAGAATACACTTTAAATATGAATTTTTCCCATAAAAATTTGCATTTTGGCTTAAATTTTCATATTTAATTTACTAATTAATCTCCCTCACCAGTCACGTTATTGTCAATCGGAGCCCACCAAATATTCCGTTCATCACAGGCCAGCGCCTGCCTTCACATTTGTCGCATTATTTGCACCAATTTATACTAAAATATTTCTATTATTAATTTCTTATACGAAATATAACCCCACCTTCAATTTGGTGTTTATTTATAATTACACTTGAGTTCGAGTTCGAGTTCGAGTAATGTCGAACTCTTACCAAGTGACGTTCGCTCAAGTCTCATTTGAGAAAAGGGTAAAATTCAAAATAATAAATATAATTTTAACTTTTTTTTGTTGAAATTAAATTGTGCGATGTTACTTAATATCAAAAATCTTGATAGAAATATAAAAGTCAATATTTGACCAAACAACGATACTTTCGATGTTATAAGAGTCCGATTGAATTAATTAGTTTTATCAGAAAAATTATAAATCGATTCGATTTTATTGAGGATATATCCAAAACCCTTTAAAGTTTTAGTTTTTTAATTAATCAGTCTGATTAGAAAAATTATAAATCGATTAGAAATTATTGAGGATAAAAATATAAAATTGCGTCCGAAATCATTCAAAGTTTGGTCTGTTCTTTTTGTCATTTTTAAGTCGTTTTCTATTTTCGATTTTTCAAAATAGTGAAAACGCGTTCTCTTTCTTATTTTCGAAAACGCGTTTTTGAAAATAAGTTAAAAATTCAGTTATAATCAAGTCAAAATTTTCAAAATACGTTTTAGGTGTTTTCAAAACAATTTTTCAAAATATCAAAAAGAATACATTTTCAACAATCTGAAAATGGATACTCAAAACACAAAATTCAAAATGAATTCAAAACTCAAAATACAAAATTGAAATACAAAGAGAACATCCCCTTAACTTTTTTAATTTTTTTTTTCAATACAAGATTCTAAACCCAATCGAGTCAACTACACATTTCTCCCCTTTAAAAAATAAAAATACAGAAAAAGATATATAAATTAAAAAAAGAAGGATTTATAACCACCCACCACCTGAATGCTGCTTTTGCCGGGTTCTCTGTACGGACCCGCCAAAACATCCATGACAATGACACCATTGGTCGTCCTTCCTTCATCTGTACAAAACTTGCTCACCCTTCATATTTTCAGGCACTTTTTTCAAATTTACTGCAAGAATATTTACCGTGGTTGGTGCAGAATTATGGGGGTTTGATTTTTCTTCAAGTATTAATATTGAAAATTGTACGTATAATGGCAGCAAGTTTCCATTATTAATTACACATTCGTCAAACACGTTGCGTGAAAGATTCTTTCTCTATTTTCCTTCCCGGCTCCCTTATTTGGAGGTTTGCCATTTCTATTTTCCAGGTTTTCTCTGTATTTTGAATTTTCTTGAATTTGACGCTTAATTTCTTGATAATTGGCACTGATTTTGATTTCTCGTTAAATTTTCTTCAATTCTATTGTGAAAACACTAGTTTCCGTTGAAATCATCAGGATAAATTTTCTTCAATTCTATTGTGAAAACACTAGTTTCCGTTGAAATCATCAGGACCTATTGGTTTCGTTGGAGATTTTTTATTACTATTATTATTTTTTTGGTCAAAGTATTTTGATCGACAAATCAAGGAAATAAGCTTGTGTAATTCTTTAAATATTCCTAGTTAATACCGATTTATCCAGATTTGACATGAAGATAATTTTTCTAGAATTTGAGCCCTCACATTAAATCCAACTTCTTTTTGAAATTAAGAGGTCGTTCATTTGTGAATTCATTTCAGGGTTTAATCTTTGCTTCAATAGTTTGACAAACTAATTGAAGATGGCGATTGGAAGTAAAGAAAAAAAATCACAAAAGAGCAAAGAAGTGATTGTGGATGAGAAATCCCCATTGTTGCCTACAAAGCATGAGGGAGACGGTGGGGTTGATGAATTTAATGGAGCTTCCTTTAGTGGGGCAGTTTTTAATCTATCAACAACAATTGTCGGTGCTGGAATCATGGCATTGCCTGCAACTATGAAGGTATTAGGACTTATCCTTGGGATTGCCGTGATCATCTTTATGGCATTCTTGACAGAGGCTTCAATTGAGTTTTTGCTAAGGTTTAGTAGGACATCAAAGTCAGTTTCCTATGGAGGTCTTATGGGGGATACATTTGGAAAGTATGGCCGGATGATATTGCAAATATGTGTATTAATCAACAACATTGGTGTGCTTGTTGTATACATGATCATAATAGGTACTACATTCATTTATACGTAGAAATTGTCTTCACGGATATTCTCAATTCCTTGATAACCTTATAAGCTTTGTATTTATTAAGGTGATGTGCTTTCTGGAACAACATCAAGTGGAATTCACCATCCTGGTGTCTTGGAAGGTTGGTTTGGAGAGCACTGGTGGAATGGAAGATTTTTTGTTCTTCTTGTGACCACCGTTGCCATATTTGCACCGTTGGCCAGCTTGAAGCGAATTGGTGAGTCTCTTCTTATGTGATTTAGCAATTATCAATTGCTCACTGTAATGCCTTTATAATTAATGTTATGTTACTTAATAATACATAACCATGCTTCGACAGACTAACCAGGATCTATGAATTGGTCATTTGAAATTGCAGGGTAGTGTACATCTTTTGAAATATATAATGATTGATGCAATTCGGTGTGTAGGAGATTTTCACTTTATTTCTCTCCCCGGTGTTAGAAAGATACAAGTCTATGAACCTATACTTAAAGAAAAGATTTCGGGGGCATTTTTCAGTTTTTATGATTTATTCTTCTCTATATTTTGTTTATAGATTCCGTAATACATATTCTCCCACTAAATGCCATCTAGAGGACATCATCAAGGAAGAACCTGTCACTGGATAATATTTTTGAAATTCTAATTTATTTTAATCATGCAACCTTACATTTGCAGATTCTGCTAGTAATTATTCTTTTCTCCACCAACTTACTGTTTCACAGTACCAGAAACTGAACGTGCTATTTATTTCTGAATCCAGATTCATTGAGTTATACATCTGCATTATCAGTTGCACTAGCTGTCGTATTCCTTGTTATCACTGTGGGCATTACAGTCTTCAAGTTGATAAATGGGACTATTTTGATGCCTAGATTGCTACCTGATGTTACCAGTGTGACGTCATTCTTCAACCTCTTCACTGTAGTTCCTGTTCTTGTCACTGCTTACATTTGCCACTACAACGGTATGTAATTCCATATCTGGTCATGAAATTGCTCGTTCAATGGTCTCTCCTTCATTTCAGGGACGTTAGTAGGATGAAACTTGGAAATCCTTGGTTTAGGAGCCACATCTAAACCTATTGCCTGCTGGTCAATTTGATAAAAAAAGTTCTAGTATCTTTATTTTATGTTTTCTGAAATTTGCTTTTAAATTAAAAGAGAAAGATGACAAAGAAAACTCTCTGATGATGTCCAAAGTCATGCCATATCTGATAGGAAACAAAATAATACTTTTTAAGTGGATGTCTGATGGTTCTAACAATATAATTAAGTAAAACAAATTTCTATCAGATGTGCCTTGAGGATTAGAAAGATAAAGAGATTTTGGTTATCTGGACATTCCTAGCATTGACTTGTAAAGAGAAATGTCTACACCTATATCCACCTGCCTGAAATTTTGAAAATGCAACAGATAAGAGTCAATGTACATGAAGGCTAATTGAGGGACTACCAATGGTTTTTGTTTTTGTTTTCTCCTCTCTCTCTCTGAGTGAAGTGTTTTCTGTTATATGGAAATGTAATACTTTACATAGCCCTGCCGATTCTGAGAAATTGGAAGTTTTGCAGTGCACACAATTGACAATGAACTTGAGGACAACACACAGATCAAAGCAGTTGTGAGAACCTCCCTTGCTCTCTGCTCAAGTGTATATGTATTGACTAGCCTCTTCGGATTCCTCTTATTTGGTGATGCAACACTTGATGATGTACTTGCCAACTTCGACACGGACCTAGGAATTCCATATGGCTCCCTGCTTAATGATGCTGTTCGTGTTAGCTATGCTGCCCACTTGATGCTTGTCTTTCCCATTGTTTTATATCCACTGCGGTTAAACTTAGATGGCCTCCTCTTTCCATCTGCAAGGCCTTTGGCTTCAGATAACTTGAGATTTGCATTGCTCAGCACTGGGCTCGTCATTATCATCTTTTTGGGTGCAAATTTTATACCCAGCATATGGGATGCTTTCCAGTTCACTGGAGCAACGGCTGCTGTTTGCATTGGTTTCATCTTTCCTGCTGCAGTTACTCTGAGGTATGTTTCAGTTTCCTGTATTTTGCTGCTTTTCACTACTGGAGATACCAAATTAGATTTACTCTTCTTGCAAGCTTCATCTTTTACTTCCTAAAATCTACTCCCAGTTATGCTTTATCCATATTGTGCTTTATCCTTCCTTTATAATAGTTACTACTAGTAAAACCTTTCGTTTGTTGTTTCTATAAATTTCTCCTCATGTTTATTTTGGTACTCCTTTGGTCCATGATCTTGATAAAAAATAAGCTTTCAATTATTTCTCTTGATGTCAGGGATCGATATGGCATAGCTACAAAGAGGGACAAGATCTTAAGTATTTTCATGATTGTCCTTGCTGTCTTTTCAAATCTGGTGGCAATATATAGCGACGCCTATGCCTTGTTGAAGAAGAATCCATCTCATAACGAATGATCTCTTATCGTCAACTCGAGACCTGGAAGTCTCAACTTTATTGAGCAATAAAGATAATTTGAGGGTGTATATAAAGCTTTTATTCAGAGAACATAAGGTCTAAAAGTCTGCTGATCCAAGTTTCAATTACACCAACACTCTAGTCAACTTAAATGTCGAGTACCTTTTCCGGAAATGTATAGAGTTGTATATGCAAACTGGCACGTCTCTTGTCATTGTGTGCTTAATGTATGTGGAAATAAATGAATGCCATGGAGATTATATTAGTTATATGTGTGTGCACGCGCATGCATGCGTATTCTGGTTCCCTAGTTTGGTTTCTACTGGGACAATGTAAATTCTAACCGGAGGATTTTGTTCTCCCTACCGGTTGTATGTCATTTTAGGTTTGATATTGTCAGCTTATATTCCAGGTTTGTTACATTAGAGTTTGATAGACCCCCTATTGTTCACACTTATTCTAGAAAGGCTAGGAAGCAGGCTGGACCATGTGGCATCCGTTTGGAACGAATTATGGGTCTGTTGAGGGAAAACTAATTCTGTTAGAGTGACCTTATAAATAAATGTAAACGTGGCATTAGAGGGTAGGCAAGAATTGAGTAGAGAAGAGTCCTGTAGCTACTTTCTTATTTCTTTTTTCTTTCCAAATTCAATTAAAATTTCCCTTATCGATTCTATTCTTTCTCTTTTGAATCATCATCCTATCAAATTGGTATCAGAGCACGTTGAATCCTGATGGCGCAGAAGAAAACAGACAGTAAGGTTGAAGCATTGGAGAGGGAAGTGGAAGAGCTGAAAACTGAGTTGCAGCGTCTAACTGGCTTGGAACGAACAATGGAAAATCTTTCTCAAAACATGACCAAAATCCTACAGGCAGTAGAAGAAACTCAGAAAACCATGGCCACCTGGAATCATCCTCAAGCGTCAAAGGAACAGACCTTGGGAGGTGACGGGGCCGAAAGTGCGATAGATAGGGGCCGTCGAACCCAAGTGACCCAGGGCCCCTTGAAGGAACAATGAGCACCCAACCTTGGAAAATAGCAGGAAGAGTTGGGCGAGGATAGTAGTGAGGGGACGATGGCGACATCAGACCAGAGTATGGATAGTGGGGATTGGCGTCGAGTTCGCTAATTGGAAATGCCAATTTTTAGCGAGGACAATCCTGATGGATGTGTATATCGAGCGGAGAGGTATTTCAAGGTGAATGGTCTGGCGGAGAATGAGAAGTTGGCAGCGGTGGGTGTAAGCCTCGACGGTAGTGCCCTCTCGTAGCTCCAATGGATGGAGGCGAGGGAGCCCTTTCGGAGCTGGGAATCATTTCACCAGAAGTTGTTGCTCAGGTTTCGTCCAACCCATGAAGGTAGCCTCTGTGAGAAGTTTCTGGCCATCCGATAGGAGGGAACGGTGGAGGAGTTCCTATAGGTGTTTGAGGCCTTTGCAGCCCCGTTAGTGAATCTGCCTGAAGAGGTGCTAGAGAGCACATTTGTTAATGGGCTCAAGGCCCACATAAGGGTTGAAATTAGGTTACATCAACCTAACGGGCTGGGCCGTATCATGGAAATGGCCCAAAGTGTGGAAGAGAGGGATCAAATAAGGGAAAAATTCATAAATAAGGTGTATTCTTTACACCAATTCAAAAATAAGGTTTATAGTTTGAAACTTCAAAAATCAGGTTTTTTTTTAATTCTAATATAATATAATATAATATAATATAATATAATAAACCCACNTTTATAGGTCACATAAGTTACAGTTTCTTGGTCACAAATTACTTTTCGTCACAGACACCTAATATATAGTCACAAATCAGCCAAATTGTTGGTCACATACGATTAAATAGTTGGTCACAGACGATTAAATAGTTGGTCAGTTGGTTACAGACGCCCCCACCCGTCACAGCCATATCCACCACCATCACGACAACATCCAGATCCGCTACAACCACCATCTGCGAAAATATCCAACCTAAACACCATCACCACCACCCAACACAGTCGACCCACACCCCCCACAGACAATCCACCAACACAGTCGATCCCCAACAGCTGACCAACACACCAACAGCTACATGACCCACACACCACAGCTAACCCACTCACCTCGACGCTAGCAGCAGCGACCCACACCACAGTCGCTAGCAACGCCGCCGCTGCGATTCACAGCAGCAGCACCTCGAATCGCTGCTGCGATTTACAGCAACAGGTGCTGCTGCGACGAATCGCAGCAGCAATGTGACTGCTGCGACTCGCAACTGTGCAACAGGTGCTGCTGCGACTCGCAGCTGTGCAACAGGAAGATACAGAGAGAGAGAAAGGGGGAAGGAGAGGAGAGGCGAGGCGAGAGGGAGGGAGGTGAGGGAAATTGAGTGATAAATTAGGGTTAGGTTTTATTATATAGTACCTGATTTTTGAATAATAAAACTTAGTCCCTGATTTTTGAATTCCAAACTTTAAGCATCTGAGTTTTTATAATTTCCCATCAAATAATGAGATCTTTCAGCCCATCAGGCCCAAGGGGCTATAAATCATTTTCTACAGCCCCAATTGAGGACAAGGTGTCTTTGGAAATCGGGGGTAGTGATAGACCCCCTATTGTTCGCACTTATTCTAGAAAGGCTAGGAAGCATGCTGGACCATGTGGCATCCGTTAGGAACGAATTATGGGTCTGTTGAGGGAAAACTAATTCTGTTAGAGTGACCTTATAAATAAATGTAAACGTGGCATTAGAGGGTAGGCAAGAATTGAGTAGAGAAGAGTCCTGTAGCTACTTTCTTATTTCTGTTATTTCAAAATTCAATTAAAAGTTCCCTTATCAATTCTGTTCTTTCTCTTTTGAATCAGGATCCTATCAGAGTTTTGGGTGATTACCCTCGTACGTGTTTATGTAATTTCGTGGATGCATAACTTAACCAAAATAAAAATTCTAAAACAAGATAATATCACAAGAATATTACCTGGGTTGCATATTTTGGATTTCATAATTTGCAGCTCTTCATTTCTCTACCATTATCATCCTTGTCACGTGCATAGTGAATTCCCCTACCAATGTCGCGACAAGATTGCCAACAATTGGTTTATGGCCTAAATTATTGGGAAGTAGACTTATTATGTGACCATATACAGGTATAGTTGCAAACTTCCTACCCAGATTATAGTGTGCGCCCACTTACATTTGAGCTTGCCGGCCTATGTGAGGGGAGCTACCCCGGGGGCCGTGCTGGTGGTCTGGGGGACTAGTATATTACTCTGAAAATGTAAGATATTTACAAGGAATCATCATCATCTAAGATCAACTTTCTTTAAGAACAATTTATATGAAAACCTTTGATGCAAATACCATGAGAAAGAATCACTATTACTGAATCAACTTCATTGACAAGCAGCATATTCCATTCTGTTCAGCAGAATGTGTGACAATAACTTGATTTGCTAAAAACAGAGGAGCTCGAACACTACTAATAACTACATAGAGCTAGCGCTTTTACAAGAATGGAAGGGGGAAAGCTTGGTGGAATCCCTACGAATTAGAATCAAAAGTTCACAATCTTACATAATGGAAAAACCACTAAATCTATGCAAACATCTATTGACACCGATCAGCTCCCGTACCCTTCCAGTATACAGTTTTAAAAACCACGTTTGCATGAGATTGAAAAATATCCTGGATCTCAAGGATTTCCGGCCGTGGTCACAAAAGGAACCAGCCTTCTGTAATCTCTTCGTCTGCCAAGCGCACAACTATCCAGTACTCGTCCTAGCATCAAACGGGTATTCTGCAATGCTAACTCCCTAGGTGAAATACCAGATTCATTTACATTAGCCTGCCCAACCAGAGTGGATCCCGCCCCATATCCTATTCCTGCAGCAAACAGCAAAGGCCCACTGCGAGCTTTAAATGAGGTCTGAGGAAGAATCTTCTCTTCTGTCCCACCAAATCCATTCTCAAAAGATCCCGCATCAGGTGGATGAGAACCTGGCAAAGAGCTACAGCTCTGTAAGAGTGCTTCCAGTACACTAAGTGCCTCCCAGCACAGAGTACTCTCTACCAGCTGGGACACAATGGCATACATATGTGGGCTTTGAGCTGCGTCCATAGGAGTATGCTGAAGCAAAGCCTTCAGCATAAGAAGAATGACGCGCTGATATTCAACTGGTCCTTTCTCCAAAAGCCGTAGGAGGTGCCCGAAAGCCAGAGCTGAGTGCCTGGGGAACCATTCGTTGCATAATAATGGTGAGACAGAAGCGAGAAGATTCTCTATGCCCTTGAACTCTCCAGAGGCATAAGCCATAAATACAGTAGCTAGCTCATCCAGTGATTTTGCTCGACACCAGATTGCAATGTTGGCCGCAACTGAACAAGCCTTTTGATGCTGCTGTTGCGGTGGTGAAGCGGGTCCCACTATGGCATCCTGGCTGAGCTGTAAGCAGAGCCAGGGAAGTAAGCCTGTAATGTGCATCAGGAGGCGTGTATCTGCATCACCGAAGATCGAATCACAAGAAGGCACCGTTATTCGTGAAAGAACCTCGATGGAAACACCGTGACTAACAGTAGACATGAGTCCTTTAAGCACTAGAGGCTGCACTCCTTCAAATGCAGGCACCTTTCCATTCGATGGTGATGGTTCACAGACATTCCTTGATTCTGTACGCTGAAATTCAGAACTATCAGATGTGTTTGTATCGAGCTCATCCCTAGGCATGCTTGAAAGAAGCACATTTTCTGTTGTCGTGTCGCGAAATGATAAACGGTCAATTACCCGCGACAAAAGCTCAAGCACCTGGCAGTAAACATGAACAAAGTCCGTGTGCATCATTGCTACGCAGCCCCAGAAAAGCTGGGGGTAGAGTATTACCTTTTCTGGCTCCATATTTTCCACCATCACCTGCAAAGTCAACAGTATTTCCATGACAGAACCCAGGACTGATGGTACAGGATTCCCCAAGCACCTATGCAGGCAGCGAAGCAGAGACACACATGCATCATTTGTTACTCGGGGTCGCAATGCACGGTAAATCTGGTGTGAGCGGCAGGCAAGATGTCTGGATGTGCACTCCATAGCCCATTTAAGTGCTTCTGCTCCCCAAGTTTCTCGAAGATCTCCTTGGAAGAAGATTGCGTCCACCATGCTCTGCACGAGAGCAGACAAGAGAGCTGCACTTGGAAGCTCAGTCCTGGTAACCATGGGATCCTCATTCTCCCACATCATGCTACCTCTCTTTGACTGGACATATTTAATCAGGCTCACAACCTGCTGCTTGTTCTCTCCATCACTATTTTCAACATCGTACAGCTCTAAATGCCTACCAGCAAGGGAATACAGTAGATTAACTAGCAGGTGCTGGCAGTGCTCCAACACAATATCCTCTGAGCTGTCCATTGAGACAAATGTTACATGAAAGAGCAATGGCAAATGCTCGCGAAAATCCTCATCATTCTCATAGGCAATTTCAGCAAGTAGAATCAAGGCAATGTCCGCCTGTGTCAATGAATGTTGCTGATGGCCTTGCAATGCTGACTGAAGTTCTTTAGCATTAATCCCATGAGTTCCAACCCCGGAATGCAATCCATCTTCCCCAGAATTGGGAGTGTCAATGAGGTAATCTCCACTATCTCGAGATACATGACGACTTCGCAAGCTTCCAGTCGAACTTCGCACCCCCATTAGTGGCCCTGACATGTTTACCAATGATGGCAGAAGTTGCCCAGACCGACCAGTAGTTACAGGAACAATGTTCATCTCTGGAGGCATAGGA